CTAACCTAAATGAATTTTAAATAATTTTTCGATCGTCACGTGAGCGTGAAATTTTGTTGGCGCACCTGGGTAAGATATATTTGATATTCGTATATATAAACGTGTGTAACAAATGTATTTATCCATAGTCACAAGCACACTTTTAAGCCTTCACAAAATTTTGGACTGAGGTATTTATCTTGCGAACATTAGCCTGGAAGTTTTATTCGGTAGGTGCTATATTCTATGAGACGATCTGGAAAAATTTTATCTTTTTGACTATTGTAATTAGTTTGTCGACTGGATTTTTCTATTGCATTTAGTTTTAGAATTTCACTTCTTTCGCAGAGCATTATAGCCATTAGAGATTTATGTTGAATATTACTCGAGCCAGTTTTTCTCTAGATAGACCTTTGAGCCAGACACCTTGGCAATTGTTTATTATATATATTACATTTAATAGCTTTATATCTTCCGTTTCCTTGTTGAGAAAGGCTCAATAGAACAAGGGTGAATTTACGGTTAAATTATTTCATATTAGACTATGTATTAACAACCATTTACAACTTTCTGCATAAAAGTCGAAAATGTCAGATAACTCTTCATTTCTCGCTGCAACAGTACCGACAGATGACGTTGCTTCACATGTGGTGTTAAATACCTCCATCGGAAGTCCACCTCATAGTGATTCTGAGATATTACCAACATTCCCTCGTCGCGAAAGTTATTCGCCTCCAAATATTTACCATGGTCAAAGAAATCCAGGTGATAACTTATATTCAGAAAATAAAGAACAACCATCCACTGTTGTTCCTTTCTACCGACGTCCACAGTTTTATGGCACAATACTGCGAACTTTTGCCTTTAATTTCTTTTTCCCTTTCATAAATGGGGTCATGCTTGGTTTTGGAGAAATTTGTGCTAATGAAATCGCGTTCAGAATGGGCTGGTTCGGGGTTAGAAGTCTGCCACTACATTACCGTAGAACTTCTATGACTCGAAGTCGTGAGACTAATAGGTCTGGAAAATCTGGGCGTGAAATCGAGGCAGATGATGAAAATGAAAAGACGATGTATGTTGAGATGACATCACTGTAGTTAATTAAATGCAGTGTTGTACATTTTCTATGTCCAAAATGATTTTTTGGCATGTTCCGTCAAACGTCTCCTACTGACGTTCAAGAATGTCCACACCCAATAATTATTAAATTTATATGAAAATTACAAATTATATGTTTTTTTTTAGTTCTAAACACTTTTACTAGAAAATTAATATAGGTTACCTCAGTAAGATTTTTGTAATTTCAACTTATTTTCGTCATAATGTAACCATCAGAAAAAAAATCACGACACGTGATGATAAGCCAATGACTAATCATAATTCGATGTAATGTAACACGATCAGGAAAATCAAAGACATCAAAAATTGCATAAGAAACCGTCTTTCGTGCACTAACAAAATGTTTCCTTGTGCGATTTTATTAAATAACCACTTAACCTTTAATATTAGTCCCTAAACCTAACTCGGTCATCACATGCCGTGTTTTTTGATGGTTACGCTGGGGAAATTGATTAAATGTATGCAGCAGATTATTCACAAGCTGCTTGTAGAAACATACAAAATGGAGGCATATATCTTATTATATTATTTTAATATTTTCTTCTAACATATTTCTATAGTTTGGTTTCAATTTATTATTTTAGAAAATATAGGCCTTTTTTTTTGTTGAATTAAAGACATGTATAAATGTTATTTTCTTATATTATAAATTCACGTCTTATTAAGATTAAATTGTAAATACGAATAGAGGTTATACCCGGTAACCATTATGGCTAGAGCCGCTCGAGTAGATTCGCCCGGGTAATACCCGAGTAACCCAGGTAATCAGATATCCCTTTAAATAGTCCAATTATAGATTGTAACATTTTTAAAAAATATATCCCGGTAGCCCAAATAAATGGGTCTGTTATACAATCAACATATGGTATCTCTCTTTTCACACAGTACCCCTGGGAGTATTATTTAATTAATCTTGGGTTTCTTGTAAAAGACTGGGATAATTAATTGTAACTCATATGCACATAAGCTTATGTTGACGATTAGTTCAAGCAGAATATGAGTCGCAATGTTTGATAAATTGTTAAGGGTTGAATTTAGTCTTAAGACAATTGGAATTTAAAGAAGTTGCGTATAGAGGTTTTGCTTTCATAATTTAACATGTTATGAATATAGTGAAATGGAATGTATAAACCGTTAGTATAATCTTGAATCTGGTTAGCTAAGGATTTCTTACTACGCCACGCGTAATTGAAAGCATATATACTAGACCCTAATAAGTGATGAGTATACATTATCCGGCAGCTTACTATGATTTATCTGCCCAATAAAATTATTGGGCAGAAACGAAAGTTTAAAATAGTTTAAACTATTGCCTCTGTCCAATAATAAAATTATTGAGCAAAAGATCATAATAAGCCGTCAGATAAACCCCATTATCAGGCAAATGCCTGCCTGATAACTATTAATTATTTTGTCAGCACTCATAATTACTTTAAGCAAAGCTAAACTAGACTACACCTGATTTTACTTCAAAGAAAGAAATCTATTTATATATATGTAATCGCTACACCTAGCATAACCATCTAAATGCTAATTAAAATCAGATAATTACAGGTTTGATTAAATCATATCTTGTAATCTAGTAATCAAAATTGTGGATCAAAAATCCCCGAAACTTAATTATCGCGCCGTGTGATGTCGAGGATCCAAAATTCAAACTCCACTTATGACTTAAGCGGAGTTTCAATATTGGACCTCAACATCACAGTGCGATAATTAAGTTTCACTTTCATAATTCGGGTAACCTATACTAATTTGACAAATTTGATTGGCAAAAAGCGACATATAATATGAGGCTTTTGTAGTAGAAAAGCCCCAAAAATATGATTTTGGATAATCAAATTTTATTGTGTTCGAGTTAAATAGTAAAATCAACTATAGTTGCAGCTTATCGATTTTTCATGTTATGACTAATCAAACTAAAGAAATCAACACGAATCAACCCGAATAGACGACTAACTTGGTTGATAATCAGAGCGCCAGATTTTAAAAGCATCTAAAATAGCACTAGCGATATCGTGACAACCACATAACCAAATCCGACCGAAATTGGTTTATCTTTCTACCTGAATTTTGGCATGTGGGTCTTTGCTTTGAAAATCACCTTCCGACATTTCGATTAAGATAATTCGGACAAAACAAACCCCATTGTCGGTGTTAAAATGGGATTTTCAAGACAAAGACCTCACATGGCATTGCGTAATGCTAAGATTTGTGCGGCAATTAATGGTCAATACTTCATGTCAAAATTAATGCCGTAAGCACATATATATTGCAAGAATTACTTGGCTTGGATAAAAGTATTTCGGCATTGATTCTTGGTATGAAATTGCCAATGCAAAACTAAAAGAGTTTCTATGACATGTATACGGAAATTAAACCAAAATTGCTGGTGCCTGATATTTTCGACAACCGCAATTAATAATTGAAAATGTAGTTCGTGCCGAAATTTACAAAAACTTTTTATTTCTGGGTGCAGTTTGGACCATTTCTACTGCAAAATAATGTTAGTAGGATTTATTATAAAAACTTTCAAATTGTTTTTTTTTCGGAATTAGAGGTCCAATCCAGATAAATCCGTCATCCATTTATCCATATCTGAATTTATCCGAATAGTTATCCAGATATTAATAGTAAAACGGATATCCGAATAAATTCAGATCTGGATATCCGGTAGATAAACGGATAATGGATAGCGATAGGAACTCCGGAAAGTGCGACTAACAAATTACTTTAGTAAACGGCAGGCCTACCGAATAATTGATTGTGAGAGCAATTATTTGAACCCAATTAATTGATTGGTGGCGTACTAATGACGGGTTAATTGCACTTAGGAATGTAAAATACCCGGATTAGAATATATAAAATATTACTGCAGTACTCATTTATACCCCCTATGCTGTACGGTAGTTTAAACTAATCGCTTTTTTGAATTAACAAAATTTTACAAATTTTTATTAAATCAGTTCTAATGATGCCAAAATTACGAACAAATATTATATAGATCTTTTTTTTAGACCTTCAAATGACAGCAAACATCAATGTAATTTATGTTCTTCTGGATCACAGCTAGAGTTGTAAAACTTACAATAATTTCAAATTTTGATGTAACTTAGTCAAAATTTCTAAAATCATTTAAGTTATTGTGTAAGTTTACAACCCTAATCACTGTTGATAATTTAATGAATCATTTAGATACTGTTACGTACAGTTAATGGTAATGTATTTCTGTATTTGGATGTAATTAGTTTTTTTTTTAGCTTCCTAAAATTTTACAATATCACGAAATTTACAATAAAAGTAAAATTGCAATTATTCTCAATCAATTAAATACAATTGTTTCTTTACACCTAACTTTCAGTAACGTAACATTGTCGATCAGAGTAACCTGCGGGTTTCACTCGTCGATTAACCTGCAGTGTAGCATTTTTTTGGTCGCGTACAATCACTAACTACGATGTTACTAGTTCAGTGTGTTGTTCTAAGAAGTGAATCCGCCGACAAACCAATTTTATTTTTATCAATGTATTAAACATACGTGCAAACAAAGTCAAATTGAATTATATTTGACCAGCATATATTGCCAAAGTAGTTGCTCTTAAATCTGAATCGCTTATGAACATTAATTTAACTAATTTTGCGTAAATTACGTTTCAAAAGAATTAATCTTGATATTATATCAGTTTTAAACGTACTGTATATATTATCGGATACCTTCAAAATTTAAAACCTTGAAACCAACGTTCCTATAGAATTATTTCGTTTATTTCATTGCTACGAAAAAAAAAACAATAAAAACCCAACGAAATGTCTTTAGCTAATTCTCAAGCCGGCCTTCCAAGTTTTAAATAATTCATATTAAAACAATTATAGAACCTGTTAATCCACCAAAATATTTTCATTAATTTTAATTTTCTAAAAATTATGCATTCCTTTACTAAATTCGTAAATAAAAATCGTAAATTTACCAGAGCATCAAAATTTTTTATAAAATTGGCATTATGCTTTCTGATTATTACGGGAACCGTTGCTGGACACGGGAGTATGGTTTGTAACTTTTAACACGTCTTTATGGTTATTCAAATGTAATTTATATTTAAAGCTTTTTTTTTTTTAAAAAAAAAAAACCAATCAGACCTTTCCCAAACCCCGTATCCCACCTGGTGATGAAGACAATGGACTAACGATAACAAGAGGTCCAACAAAACAGTACCCATGTGCAGGTAATAAAAAAACAACAACCCTTGCTAATTTTCGACCTGGCCAACTCGTAGATGTTAAATGGGAAATCGGAGCTGCACATCGTGGTTCATGTGCTATTGATCTCTCAACAAACGGAAAGGATACTGATTTCAAAGTTCTCAAAACAATTGACGATTGTGCTGATCAGGCAGGAAAGAATTTTAGTTCCAAAGTTAAACTACCATCTAGAATTAATTGTAATTCATGTACTTTGAGATTTCGTTGGAAAGCAGATATCACTAAAGAACTTTACCTTAATTGTGCTGATATTAGAATTAATAGTAAAATCAATAGTAAACGAAGTGTTTTTTTTTAATATCTGAAATTTATTACGTTACTTTTTTATAATTATAGATATCAATATAGATGAGATAAATTTTTTTTTGTTCACTTTCACCTTATTTCTGTTATTTGCTTTTCATTAATAAATTTTATTAGGATAGAATTTGGCGAATCACGATGAATAGGAAAGGTAGACTATTTTAAAATGATATTCTTTTACTTTCTTTTATCAAATGAATGGCTCGTGAAAACTTCATGCTTTATCTAATACATCTAATAATATATAATAAAATGCATCTATTAATGAATCGTATCTAATGATATATATATATATAATGAGACGCTTAACGAAACGCATCTAATGAGATATATTTAATGAAATATATCTAACGAAACATATTTAATGAAATATATCTAACGAAACATATATAATAAGATATATATTTATCTAGTAAAACATATCTTTGCTATCCCCAATATGTTCATTCCAAGCCAATTATTCTCTATGTCAATAATCGGCAAGTACAAACCGTTTATGATTAAACTGACTCTAATACATAATTAATAAGACTATAACAACAACTAGCATATAACATCTTAACCTATCAGTTCCACGCATAACAATATATTGACAGCAGAATTATTAAAATGTCAAAAAAATAAAAAATAAAAAATAAAAAAAATGAAGTCAGTAAACAAACAAATGTAGATATCGAATGTCAATGAGCTAGTGCTTAATGTCGTGCCATTATGCGAATGATGTTTTACGAACAAGATGTAACCAAAAAATAACAATCTCTCGTTTAAATGAATTGTAAGGGACTGCTCCAAGAATTATTCTACATATGAGTTTACGTGGAAATAAACAAGTGGTCATTATTCATAGAATTCATAAACCGGAACAGAGACGGTAAAGATGAATAAATGTGATACGCAAGAATTGACTCAGGTCTGTCCTGGGATTGATTTCTTCCCACGTACGTATGTATGTACATACAAAAATTAATATTGTAGATAAATGCTACATTGATTGTCTATATCACGAGCTTCTGGTTGCAGATATGCATAACTTTATGTATGCAAATTATATTTGTCCTTTTCAACTTGATCATTCATTGTCTGGAGAACCGTAAATTATAGTTTCATATAAGAAAATTGTAATCTATTTCGAGGTATTGTATTTCAAAATTAAGATTAGTAACGATTCGGGACTCCACATCGTATGTTGTGATAATTAAGATTAATTGTCACAACATTAATTACCAACAATCACTTATGCATCAAATTTGCGCATCATTCAGGTGACGTCAGAATATATGCGTGAGCCAGTTCATATTAAATAAACCATCATACTTCAATATTCTTCAAGCAACAATTCAATCTAACCCAATAAAGGAAAACAACGAGCCGCTTTCCAAAAAAAAAAACCGAAAAAAAATCGAGAACCAATCAAAAGAGGGATCGTTATAGAATAATATTAAATATTGGTTAAAATAATTGGAAAAATTATACATAAAACGTAATTCCGATAATGCGTTCCAAAATTACTTTAAGTTTTTTTTGGTGTTTCACATGTAGATGTCTAAAAGAAACGCGACACGATCTGAATCTTATCTGATATGGGAGCGCGCATGATCCAAACAAAGTATTAGTGTAAAACTGCTTGAACCAATCATTAAAAGAATGAGAAAATGCCCTCGTAAACTCATGTCAATCCGAATTTATTAACGTTATTGATGATTTTTGATTAAATATGACAAAATAAATTTGATTCTTTGTCTTCTGTAAAAGAATTCGGAATTCGATTTAGATTAGTCTTTGTCTTTATCCGCGCCTAATCCAGCTTAGCCGCTAAACAAAAAGCAGCATTCTTTAGTGTCTAATAACGGCTTGTCAACAAACAAAATATTTTATGCGTATTTGTTTTTCCTTATGGTTTCCCATTAAACCTTTTTTAAATGTTCGTAGTGAACATAGAAGTCTCATGATCAAATTGTCGCTTTTGTGTTTTATCATATATTTCGTCCATTATATTCATGTAAATAAAACTAAATAATGTAAGACTAATAAATTATCTTGTTTTTCCACTTTGGAAAACAGGATAAAACTTTACCGATTAAATTGAGGCTTTCATTTCATCGGGCACACAAGTACATATATCATCAAATATGTCACTCCATAATTTCATGTAGAAATATTTTGAATTTTAAATTATAAACCGACTCCTTTAGATTATCTGGATTAATTTATAGTATATTCTCTGAAGAAAAAAAAAAAAAACTTTTAATGATTTATCTATATGACTAAGAAATAATTCCCAATTTAGGACAAAAAAATATATATTTAGTTCTATTTAAAACCATACCTAGACTCGAAGACTATCGTCATCGATTAAACACCAAAAATATAGATAATCAGATTTACATAAGATCTTCCTTATCATACAAAATGAGGTATTATTAAACTTAATTAACTCGGATTTGACAAAGTTGTGTTACGCGAAAGGTAAATCAATGCAAATCTCTGATTCCTTATATAGTATCCCTTTTGGTTAAATATGGTATAAGGACGGAAGATATGTTTATGTTTCCTTTTTTGGAAAACAAATAGCTCATTAAAGTAATTTTATTAAGTATCTTTATTGTGTAGACTTTGTGTCACGTGATTTTCCTAAACAAGGAATTCGGAATTTTGAATTCATTCCGTTTTCTTTATTTTTTTTTAAAAAAAAAGAATTGCCGTTTTCTGAATAGATAGAAAAACAGGTTTGTATATATGCAAACTTAGGTAAGCAAAAATGCAATATTATGCGGAAACATATTAGGTTACGAAGGTTCGAAGGTAGTAGTCCGAATTGGCAAAATATTACGGCGCGTTAGAGAAATTAAGAAAACAATTGGTCACCAAATTTAGACTTTGGTTCCCAAATTATATATTAATCAATCAATGTTAAACCCCGAAAAAGTTTTTGACCTCTGGTCTGTACCGATAACGAGTCTAACCCATTTTTTTCACAGGCTAACCCATCTTCCCACCTCCGACGCATTCATTAGACAGGAATTTATTAAAATGACGCATCATAACTTGGAAAATGTTGATTATCTCAGTTAAACCTATATTTACATATTAGTAGTCAAAATTTTCAAATTTTGGAGTATTTCGCAAATACGCCGTATGTTTTTCTAGTCGACCAACTTTTAGTTTAATTACTTAAATATGTGATCACATGATTTATATATTAATTCAATTTGTCAATACGCAAAACTTTTTCTTCCTAAATTTTATTAACGTTAAACATAATGCTTATTCGTTAGTTGCTAGCTTACCAACTTTTTGACCAATCGATTTTCGACTCGTATCACTAGTCCAAAGATTTATTTCTGAATCGAAAAATTTTTGATATTCTTTAAACTTGTAATAATGAAAGTTTATGTGTATCATAAATGCGCATGATGAATCAACAAAAGTGCGGGCGTATGCTACCTCTCACCATGATCAATTGTACAGTTGATCCAATATCAATGATGTCGCACTGCTCATGATTACATATGTCGTAGGTGCGCACTAAAATAATATTGGAACAATTTTAAACTTAATTAAACCATTGTAATGTAAAAAGATTAGAAAAAAAAATGAAATAGTTTTCACTTTACAAAAAGTAAATGAAATTTATATGAGATTAATGCTAAAGTTGATATTGTCCAACCCAGCTTAGAGTACTATAAAACTATACCTGGAATTTTAAGTTGGCATCTAATCCTGTCCAGAGTGTCTAGATTGTCTAGATTGTCTAGACTAAGTACTCCTGAATCGGTGTAGCAATTTTGTCCCACTGAACTCATAAGCTGGAATATTTTAGCTCAATTCTAATTCGGATTATTAGACTCATAAAGATGTCCAATGCTGTCGGAATATATATGCCGTTCCAATTAACAATCACAAATATTATAATGACTCTCGATTCAAATCTTTTTTTACTGAGATTTTTTCAAAAAATAATATTTTCAATTGAGATTTATAAAAATCTTTTTTATGCAGGTTTATCAAAAACTTTTTACATTACATTGAACATTACATTGAAAGTCTTACTTTACAATCGAAAACAAAGCCATATTAAAAATGAAAAACAATTGTTTTTTTTCTGAAACTATTTTCTCAACATTAGCTTAAAAATAAAAATCATTGTTCAAAATTTATTAATAAATCCATGAAAAATTCCTTTAGAAGCTTAATAGACATTGATTGTGTATTCTTATCTCGATGATCATTTTGTAAATCTTACGGGCCGAAACAATGACGTATAGAGAATTGGCTAACCTAATAGAGGTAAATTCGTACCTAAAAGATAAAAAAAGCGAAAATCTATTTTTATAAACAAAGAAATCAAGGTTATACTAAATTCTGTTTCAACCCCTGGTCAAAAATAAAACAAACGGTCATAAGTTCTCTCCCTACCCTTGACAAGAATCTTTTAAGGAAATTCTTTTTTTTGCCATATTCATTTTTATGATCTTCATATGACTGAATGGTTTAACATATTAAGTAATGAGTGATATGCTTCAATGCTTATCATTAATTAGTAAAATTGTATAACGATAAAGTTTTGTATCCGTAATACTATATTCGGTATTTGTAAAAGTTTTCTCGGACTTTGAATACAGTAAACATGAGTAGATCGTAATGAACAATGTCCATGAGATCAAGGTTAATAATCTAATAGCTGATAGTATTACGTATATACATACGCACATGCGGTTTGGAATCAGCTAGAATTGTTATGAACTGACAATCTATTTTAAAAACGAACTTCTTGCTTGAGATTGGCATTTTCGATGAGTCATTAGATTATTATGCTCCAAAAATAGTAAAATTTTTCTGTAAATCTCAATGCGAACAATACTTATGGTTACTAAAACATATCAAATTTAATAAATAATTTACAAATTAGCATCTAAGGATATTTAATGTGGATCGAAGTTTAAGCCTTTGTTCTCTTAAAATACAAATGCACAATGCAGTTTTTTTGGGAGGACAGCAGCTAATACATTGACTACATATCTCCGAGAAAGGGTTTCATCGTCATGAATTAAAGCTTATTTTAATAAATCATTTCATTTATATTTATATATATTTTATGATCTCGGCTATTGTCTTGCAGCAAATTTTATTTATTCATGTAGTGTGAGTTGACAAAAATATTAATTAGATAATTGGATTAATTTGGTCTCGAACTCGTGGAGAGGATGGTTGCCTAAAATTAAATTTGATTAGGACATGTATGGGTTTATAACACATGGAAAATTGAGACATGAAACTTTACGCCTTCTAAATGAATACTATGAATACTATGATCACACTCCACGAGCGCATCAGCATGGGAAGTGAATTTCCTTATAAACTCTTAAAAATTTATTTTTATTTTTATTTTTCGTGACGTCTTGTAATATTATTGGTTCTTTGAAGGCTGAGGTTAAATTCAATTACTCAGATATATTCAATTATTCGGATATTGGATTATGTCATATAATCTTTCTTGTTTCCTTTTTCTTAAACTTGCGTACCCATGTTGAAAAAAGGCGGAATTGGGCTTTTAGCTTATCTTTATTTTGAAAACTTTTTGAAATTCGGAAGGCTTACACAATCTTTCATGCGTGATTAAAACAAAAGATATTTTCCCAAAATGTGTTACAAATAAAGATAAACTAGCATTCATTTTTCGTGTTCTTTATTTTTTTTTTTTTTTGATGTTTGAACCTGCTGTTCTTTTTTTTTTTTTGTTATGTTAACAATGAAATATCATTGGGTATTATTTCTTTCAAAATAAAGTTTGGAATTAACCCTTGTAATACATTTTGTTAGAAAGGATTAAAAAGTTACCTAGCATATATACAAGAAAGATAAAGAGCGGGCGGCTATCTCTGTTGCTCACCGCGATATTTTACTTTATATATAACAACTACATAATGAGCATGTAATGAACATGTATAAATATATACCCATGATATCATGATCTCGGCCATTAAAGTGTTTTAAGAACTAAATTAAAATTTTTGAATTTCAACAATGGTCAAGATGGTCAAACATTAAGGGATAAATGGTAAAATTACAAAGAAAGCGGAATAAGAAGTAATCTGTGTACTTAAGACATGGGTAACATGTAACATAAAAATATTTTTTTTTTTGGAATATATTGTATGCATAATGAAACTATCAACAAAACCCCTATTTTCAATAATATTAACGGCTACTCTAATAGGTTAGTATGTGGCGAATGATGTAAGTTTTTTACAAAATAAGGTCGGGCTGGGATTTTGTGATACTTCCATTGTCTTTTTGAATAATGAAGATAATATCATCGTCAAGTTAATTTAACTAAAAACTGTGGCGGATTATGCCGATTCAGAATATTCTAAAATGACTATATACCTATATGCAGGGCTTGTGATCAACAATGGTATTTATTTGTCATGATTCCCAAACAAAAAAACGCATAAAAGAAATTTCGAGGCGAATATCTTCACCCTAGTAGATTAAAATGAAATGAAATGTATAAGATTATAAATAAAGTAGCTTTTTATATCATAATTAATCAGCCATATCAGCCATTAACTTACTATTTTAGTTTTTATCGCAAAGGAATAATTCTACGAAAATAAACGTAAATCCGAGGGACCGAAACAAATAGTACGGACCAAAAATAAAGCATGTTCTATAATGGGAATTACTGCGTTCACGAAAATAAATTAATGGTTAACCAAAGCCCGATAAGTGTTTGATAAGGAAGCATATGTTAAACTCGAGGTAGTTCATTTCTTGATCCAATTGAGAAATCGATTCAATACAATTAAATGTATTGATGTTAACGTGACTGTTTTCTTTTGTTTTGTGTAAAATAAAAAAACTGTATACGTACTATATGTACATAATAATATATCATATATATATCATATATATGTATATATAATATATATGTAAATATATAATATATATGTATATATAATATATATATTACAAATAAATATATTATTTATTCTAAATCAATTAATAAGATAATTTTTAAAATAAATATCAGTCTTGATTATAAATTAGTCATGTTGCTTCTTTATATGTGAATGTTAAGGTTATTTACACAATTTCTCTTATCGGTGCAATAAGGGAATATTCTTGGTTAGAGCGCGATTGATGCTACTTTAATTTTACATATCTCGAGTCAGAAAACCAAGCCACGTGAGTTAAAAATCGTGAACAAAGTTATCATAAAGTTTTTTAATAAATGTTTTTTTTAAATAAAAGGTTTAATAAATAGTTTAATAAATATCTTTAATAAATGTTTCAATATCTTAATAAATATCTTAATAATAAGTATTATAAAAAAAAAAAAAAAAAGCCTTTATATATTTCCGGTGACCATTTTTATTTATATCACTATTCGTCTTATATAAACAATAAGTCTTCGGACTCATTGTTATCACACTGGTTTTACTTTAATTATAACAAATCAAATAAATTTATATTATTAAATTACTAATTGTTCCTTTCCCTTCCGTAACTAAACGGCGCTTTTAAACCGAATGGATCTTGAACGAGTGAAGTCAAGAATAGCAGGTCAGTAAAAATGATCAAGTTACTTGTTAGTAACATTTTGATTTAGTAATTGTTTCCGCGGAAAATTACATAAGAAAGTCAAATGTAAAAAATTTTTTTTATAATTATTTAATAATTATTTAATATATATTTTTTTTTTTGTAACAAGGCCGAAGGTATTAAAAATTTTTAAAATTGTATATACAATTTTTTTTTTTTTAACAAAATCAAACCCCAAAAAAATTTTTTTTATTTATTTGGCGATTAAATAAAATTTTTTTTTTATAATTTGATGGAGCAAATCACCATAACATACATATGTATAACGATTACAATATAATGAATATGCATTTGTGTGTTTTTTGTAGCACACTAGTATATAAGATTGAAGTATAAATACGCCTTTAGTCGTGTCATATCCCTCTATGGACTTTTAAGAAACCGAATAACCGCAAACATTTAATCTGTGGACGGAACCCACTTTTATTCTGTACAAATATAAAGTACAAAGATAAACCAACTGGCACAATTATTATAGTGTCAAAAATAAACCCCCCTTAGCTAACTTTAGCAACCCTCTGTGGTGGAGAATTAAGCCGTCCAGTTCTCCCCAATAGAGTTAGCTAACATCGAACACATTCACTTGTAACAAAAAAAAGAAAAAAGACAAAAAGAAAAAATTTTATTTATTTCAATCCTTTATTAAAAAAAATAAAATAAGATTATAATGGACGCTGAAGCGAGGAGAAAACATTGCGGTCTCTTAATGTTTGATGCTCCAACCGTGTCTGCAAGATCTCAAACATCAAGAAGCAATGACATTATCATTAACAACATGTCAACGCGGGGAGTTGACTCTTCCGCATTGAATAATAATCTCTCCTATGAATCCTCCCGTAACGCTAGTTCAATGATCAATGATTTTGACATCTTTCAGGATTGCACTTCTGACTTTTCTACTACCACGCGCGCGCTGGCGGCTGGAGCTGCTGCTGGTGATGATTTTATTCATCATGGTTCTGGCGATTTATTAAATGGTGATGAGTCTGTACAAAGAAATGGTCATCCTCAAAAGAGAACACCAAGACCACCTAATGCATTTATCTTGTATCGTAGGGAAAAACAACCTGCAATCATCGCTGCTAATAGGCATCTTTCAAATGCTGAAGTTTCTAGAAGAATTTCAAATATGTGGAAAAGCGAACCTGAAGAAACTCGACGAGAATGGGAAAGATATGCTGATCGTAAAAAGCTGGAACATATGCAAGCATATCCTAACTATGTCTACCGTCCTAACAAGAATAAATCCAAAGTCGATAAACGTAGACAACAACGTAAGCAAACTTCTCCAAGGGATTCCACAGACAATAGGAATTATTCAGTCTCAACTGGTACTACTGGCCCTCATAGAAGAAAATCAACCAGAAGTGGAAATAAAAGCCCCGCAAAGTCAGATTTTACTGAAGGCTTACAACAATCACCCATTAATATGTCACCACAAGATACCAACATGACACCTCGAAATGAACCTACAAATTCTTCATATACAGTTCTTCCAAGTCTTCCAAGTCCAGAAATTCCTACATTGGTGGATCCCCCCGTAGAATATGGATCTCAACAACAAATTAATCCAGTTACATCTCATTTACCACTTACACCGATTTCTCCACCTCAAATGCAATGTGAACAAGAATTTAAAGTTCGTCAACAACAATATGATCCAAATCTTTTACGATATGTTCCAGGAGGTATTCAAGTTTATCATAATCAAGGAAACGCACCACAACTCCCCTTCACATCCATGGACGGATTTATTCCTTCCTATAATCCTTTAGAATATTATATTACATCAGATGTTCCAGATGTGGCACAACAACAACAGCAGATGAATGCGGAAACTATGCTTCATTATGAACAACATCAAATTACACATACGCCTACCGTTTCATCCTCAAACAATCCATCCCCTAATGAAAGAACCTCCCTATATCCGCAACAACCTGCTCAATATTATCATAATGGAACGAATACTGCTGGTAACGTAAACAGCAATCCAACGTATTTAAATTTTCTCGCAGGATACGAGTGTCAAAACTTTTTGGGTGGTTCTGTGAATCATCACATTCAATAATAAAATTTTTTTGTTATTATACACTTTTATTGAGAAAGAAAAAAAAAAAAAAAAAGCAAGAAAAAAAAAATGTGAAAAGAAGAAATAATCAAATTTATAAAAAAGGTTTTCTTTTTTCTTTGGTTTTTGGTTTTTTTTTTGGGTTTTTTGGGTTTTTGTCTTTTTTTTTTTTTTTTTTCTCCTCCTCTTTTCCTTTTTTTTTTTTTAAATTAAACACTCATGTAAATTTTTCTTTTTGCCTATACCTTTTTTATATTGTATACAATGAACAATTCATATTTATTATTATCTCGTTTTTTTTCTTCTTTTCGTTACAGTCATTTCCAACATTTTTTTTTTTTTTCTCTCTCTTTTCTCTGTTGTTCATTCTTAGAGAATAGAACATCTGTAGCATATATACACGATTATATATATATATATATATAATATAAATTTACAATACTCTAGAATTTCGTGATGTGTTCCTTTTTTTTTTTTTTGGTTAAAGTGAATTGTGAATTGTGAATTGTTAACAGAACAGAAACAGAAAGAAAGGAAACACTGTCATATATCGATCATATCTCGATCATATTTCGATCATATATCGATCATAAATATCGATCATAAATATCGATCATATATATTGATCTCATATATTGATCTCATATATTGATCATAATGATCATGTCGAAAATATGTTGTTGCTACAAGAAGTTCGTCGAAGGCTAATATTCGCTCACAAACATTATAAATTTTAAGAAGAGACAAAGTCAAGATAATTTAACAAAAACCATCAAGTAATTCGATTTTTTTTTTTTTTTCTTTTTTTTTTATAAAGAGAAAAAAAAAAAAAAAGATGAGCGCGCGAGCTCTACGTGTTTGTTTTTATCAACAATTGATAATTTTTCTTTCGAAAGTTTTAATCATAGCTTTTTTTTTTTTTTTTAAATCGAATTTTTAAGACTTTTGGTTTTACATAGTTTCTTCGAAAATCACATTCCCTTTCTTGTGTATTCTCATTCATTTTAGGCAAAAAAAAAAAAAATCAAAACATTTCATTACATTTATTAGTTTGATCGTTTCTGTTCGTGTGAAACGGATTAAATCTGTTCTTTACAAAAAAAAATATATATATACTTTTTTTATTTATTTATTTAGAAAGAAGAGATTAAAAAAAAAAAAATAAATAAAAGTTGGGTTTATTAGTTGGTTTTTTCTTTGTTCTTTAAAAACGTCGGTTGTTCTCTAATTATTTGTCTAATGGTAGTCTGTCTATTGACTTGTCTGTTGACTTGTCTAATGGTCTATCTAATGGTCTGTCTAATAGTTTATCTAATAGTTTATCTAATGGGTTTATCTAATAGTTTATCTAATGGGTTTATCTAATGTTTTAAATGGTTTGTTAAAATTCATATCGATATACATTTTATACGTATTCATTTATACATAGTGACTCTTTTTAACGTTAAGTAAGAAATTGCATTTAGAAGAAGTCTAAATATTTGAACCGCAGTTAGAGAATTTTACTAAACTTGCACTTTGAGAACATTAACAGCTTGTTAACTTTTATATACAGTATATACCTTGAAAATTATTTCTTGCTTGACATTAAGAAAGATACATTTTTTTTTTTACCCGCGAAAAAAAAAAAAAAAAAAAAAAATCGGAAATTTATTTCTAAATAATTATTAGTATATAAAAATTTCAGTATCTCGTGGAATCAATTTAAGATAATTAAGATAATTAAGATAATTAAGATAATTAAGATCATTAAGATCATGACAGGCAAGCATAATTCTTTTTCGTAACGCCCGCATAAGAAACATAAAAGAAAAACTTGAAATATCACACATACATTTTTATTTATTTATTTATTCAAAATTTTTACATTAAAAATGTATCACTTTATTTTGAAAAGTCTAAAAATTGTTTTTCATATGTATTTGCTATGTCAAAAAAGAATTCATAACGATGATTACATGAATGATTACATTTTTTTCGGAGATGCCCTTTGCTATCAAGACAATGCAGATTGGTGACGTAAGGATGTACATACATTTTAATGCTATCTACAGTATTTAAGATCATCTGCCAATATTGATTGTGTCATCATGACTTATATGAACATAGTACGGATGAATGAAACGATAAAAATCTACAACTTAATAATAATAACGATAATAATAACGATAATAATAATAATAATAAATAATAAATTGAAATTAAATAGTAATCCATTGAAAATTTCTTGAGTAATAAATTTTCTTAAATGTCTCAGACAATTAAATGTTTACAATTAAGTGTGTATACAATTAAATGGGTTTAAAGAGGTTAAAATGGTTACGATTAATGTTGACAATTGAAATGTTGACAATCAATATTGACACAATTAGCATTGATAATAAATTACCAGTAATAAAATGTACAATTATTACTAACAATTAATATTGCTGACAATTAACATTGGAAGTTGTGATGACATATTTTTTACGTCACTAAAACGATAAACGAAACGATAAGCGAAACGATATGCGATAAGAACTTGTAAGCAAGAAAATTGTTTCATTGTACGTTTCATTGTACGTACAATTTTTCTTACATAACAAAGCGAAAGTTAATCCGTTTTGTCCATTATAAAGTTATATGTAAATCTATTGTAATGTTTGTTTGATCACATACTAATTCTATTCTCAAGAAAATTTTTTTGATTGGTGAAAAAACAAGAAAATGATAGGTACATACATACAATACATTTCTATTTTACCGATTTTTTCTTACTAATTCGAGAATTTTTTTTATGTAATCTGTATTGGATTATTGCTTTCGTAAAATACCATTTTTAGAATTATCAGTTCATATGAGTCATGATGCATGTACGACACCAAATCGGGAACACAAGGCGTAGTAAATTTGACGCGAAAGGATATAGTAAAGTGGTTGAATAGTAATACAGAAAAGAGAAAATTATATTATGATAAGTCACCTTCCCTTATGATATTAATTAATAACAAGTATAATTTGGAATTTTAAATGATTCTTTAAAAATTATATTATTTCGGACATTATTCGGATATTATTCGTACGTGCGTATATTATTCGTATATTATTCATAGATATTCATAGATTATTCATATACGATTCGTATTGTTAAAATGGAGGTTGAAGGAGTTTGAAGCACTAGGATCATGCATGGTTTATTTGTCCCCTGCTTTCAACGGTACTTTCTGCGGTACTTTCAGCGGTCAATAAAGTTTTTTTTTTTTAAAAAAAAAAAATACCTTTTTTTACATTCCGAATAATCCAGATCTTTTTCAAACTCCTGGATGACATTGTATCCTTTGAAACAATTATAAACATCAAATATAATCATCAAATATAAGTAAAATGCATGATTGCATTAAGTACTTCAAAAGTCTTGTTTTCCAATCCTGAAGAACAGGATTTAAAAGGTAACAGGAACCATGAAAGGACGGATTTAGATTTTTACTATTTTCATATGATTTTATTGATTTTCGGAACATGCTTACATGAATTAAAAAAGTATGCATTAGATATATGTATTGTTAAATAATTACATTTTTTTATCGGCAGGTTTATTATTATGTGCCTCCGTTTGTGCATTACATGCAGTATATAAGAAAAAAAAAAACATACTGAATTTAACTACACTGTATTTAGAATATATGCGCCTTTGTATGAGATATAAAAGTAACAGGCTGTATGGCGTGTTTATTAAACACGCATATATTAAAAAGAAGATATTAAAAATTTATATCAATAAAAAAAGAAACAGTACAACAGATTTGGACTTTTAACGCGCTATTGGTTCAATCCAAATGCGATTATGATTTTGTTGGAAAATGTTTGAACAAATGGTCGAATAAATGTTCGAATAAAATGGTTGAATAAATGTTTGAATAAACGTTTGGATGAATAAAAAATGTCTAATAAATGTCTGGCAAATAACAATTTTCAGCCCTTTTGCATTTCTACTAACCTTAATAAAAAAATAAACATTAGAATAATGTGGTAAGAAGTGCTATTAAAGTTATCAATTAGAAAATTAGATATCAATATATACGTATCAAGATCAGTATCAGTATCAAATATCAATACCAATATCAATATTAATTTTATAATACTGTAAAGTATTATTGTATATTTATTTACAAATTTACAAATTTAAAATTTCATAGAAAAAAAATCACGTAATCGCGCGATCAGGCCATTATGTTCAATGATATCGATATTCGATATTATTCGAACATAAAATTTATTGATTACATCTTTGTTGCTTATTGTTATGTATTGTTATTTATCGTTATTTATCATTATTTATCATTGCCTATTGTTGCTTATTGTTATCTATTGAAGGAAATATTAAAAACAAAAAGAAATAGTTTAGCAATGTATTATTAACCATTCATTTAATAATTGATTTATTAATAAATGATTTATTAATAATTAGTATTAAGGATTGGAGAACTATGTGAAAAAAAGTAACTCCAAAAAGATTAAATGCATCTTCTATGAAAATAGATTAATTAATTGCACCAAATTAAAGTAACTCTAAAAAAATGAAATGCATCAGTTAAAAAAGCCGCTTGATTAATTTAACTAATTGTAATTAAATTTAACTAATTGTAATTAAATTTAACTAATTGTAATTAATTTAACACTTGTAATTAAATTTTAATTAACTCAACGAATTGTAATTGATTCAACGAATTGTAATTTGGTTAATGAGCATACACGGGTCTGACTCTGGAACATTAGAACTTGTAGGTCATACATACATTAATTTTACATTCAGTATGCAATATCTTACGAGTTGCTGACAAGTTAATAACGACAACGAATTTGTGACAAATTAACGAATAAGAAAAAATTATTTTTAACTTTCTTTATGACGGTTTTTCTCTGCACTCATTGATCATGACAAGTATGCGCTCAAATTTGACGGTTATTGTCATGCGTGTAATTAAAAATTCATATTTACTTGCGTCTTTGAGCATAATTGA